CTTCTCTGATTATTGCTGGGAAAGTGAGTCTTGATATTTGGTGTTCGGAGTCTGACTCAACTTCACGTTTCAGGACCATCACGCCAGATCTGTGTGGCAAGACCATTGCATTTGATTTATGAAAATGTGTATACACTCCTTTGAGATCTCTTTTGGAGGAAACAGATGAATACGTAACTTCCCACGTGAACATTTTGACTAGGTAGTCTCCTTTTACTCAGCAGTGCGTACAGACCACGTTAAGAGAAGCTGAAACGATCCGTTTAGCCTTAACCAATTTAACAGCTTCCTCGGAGTAAATGTTTACAGCTATTTCTTTCTTAATGGTCAGCGAAGTCACTGGGGAAGCTGCTGTTTAAATATTTAAAAGTGGGGCATGATTCAGGGGGGCAGGTGGGATCAAAACCGGGACGTACAGCCAAGGGAAGAGGCGGCTTGAGCGGGCAGATGTGTGCGGGCTGAGTCAGAACGGAGCCTCTTCTGAAAGATGCCTTGAGCTGCGGCGTGCTGGGACCGTGAAATCGGGACCACTGGGGACTGGTGTTTCCTGGGCGGATGAAGCTGGTCGCGGTGGCTGTTGTGAGCGTGCTGATTCATTAGTCAGTGGGTGGTGAGAACCATGTGCACTCTCCAGGGGAGGAGGTGGCTCGGTTGCTTTAGGGAGAGGGAACATTTTCTGTAACTGCAGGATGTGTGGATGGAGCGTGCAGATAGCGTATCTGTAGCGCATCAGCTAAATACCCCGGTGTTGCGAGATAAGGATTTACTAGAGGACTAAAATAGGATGTGAAACTGTGGGTTTGTATCCTGTGCTCAAGTAAAGCAGCTTTTTTTGAAGTCATTGAGAATTGTCCTCTGCTTCGCTATGTTCAAAACAGGTTTGGTTTTTAAAATACTGACTCGTGGTGTTGCAGGAGCCACGTCCCTGCCTGTTTTTAACAGCAAAGCTACCTCCCAGTTAGTTGGAGTTGGAAGAGAGGATTGCTGATTTAAATGCAGATGAAAAGAAATAACAGATGGGTTGAAAGACTACAAAAGAGAAGGTGAGATACGCTGTGTATTGAAGGTGTGGCACATTGGTCTTTGAGATCAAGCCAGCTGGTAGATGGAGAAAGTGCAAATGCAACTCTACAACTTAAAGCCTAACGTGTTCATGCAGCACCATCTCAAATTTACGTGTGTTTATGGTGCTGTTCATCCTCCATACAGGTAATCTGCAAGGAGACAAGTATTTATTTTTGCTGGTTGTTCAGTCAGTGAATTTGTTCTAATGCTAAAAGCCTGTTTCCAATGCAAATCTACTTTTCTCATTTAAAAAAATTGTAATGCTACTTTGGTTTGTAGCAGGAGTTTGAAAGGTAAGATGTAGTTTCAGGTGAAATGAAAGTTTTGTATAACAGACACCTGAGCAAAAATTTAGCTGGTCCAAGCTAGTAAAAATTGCAGATTGTGGTATCTGACAGTTTACCTGGGTCTCAGAATTCAACAAGCTGTCTAGCTCTGGCTGTGCCAGCATGGAAAATGAGGGTGTGAAATGAGGGACAGCTTACTCTCTTCCAGCATGTGTTTAATAGTGCCTAACTCTGTTACACAACCACTGACAATGTCAGAAAAGCCGTATCTTGTTTGGTTTCTAGGATGGACTATACACTGAAAGGAGACGGCTATATAATAGATCTTTTCCTCTTGTATGTCCCTCCATAATGGTGTTTCTTTAGGTAGCATTAAATTTGTCCACTGTGTTATTTAAATGCAGCTAATCTAGGGTTAGGTTACAACACCTTGGGTGAATTATTCTAGCAAAGACATTCTTTGATCTGCTGCCTATCAAATTGTATAGCTCAGTAATAGTAACGGCAGGAAGCTTGTATAAATGTAGCTGTTGCCTTTGCTCTTAGTGCGACTGTCTTAAGGCAACTTTTCGGAACGGAGATTCTGAAAGTTCTCTTCTAAGACAACTTTGTGCTGCGTTTTGAGGTGCTGTAACAGATCACGTGCTCATAGACAAGAGCGCTAATTTATTAATAATTCTGTTAAATTGAAAGGAAACCAGCATGGCTTTATCTCAAAAGAAGGAAATGTGTGGTTAAACAGTTTTGGCTACAGTCTTAGATGGTTTTCATTCTCCAGAAAGAGGGGAGGGAGGAGTAAAAGACTCTAAATTCCTTTTTCTAAAATAGAGGAAAGAGCACCAGTATGCTTTACTGTGTGTTTTAATGAGGGAGAAGTTCCTGTGTAAGCACACGTGGTTTCAATATTGAATTATACTAAATTTGAATGATTACGTAGTAATTTCAAAACTCGGGTATCTGGCCAAAGAATTCACCCTTTCAGAGGTGAGAAGTGCTTCTTATCTGAATTTTGAAGCCCTGCCGAATCCAGTGGTGTAAGTCTTTAAGGGCTCTGATTCAGGAGCACAAGGGCCGAGCGCTTTATCTCCAAAGGTCAGGCTGCGTGCCAGCGGTTCGCGCTGCTGTATCAGCAGCTCGGCTCGTGGTCAGGGTGCTCGGGGCAGATAGCAGGCATCAGTAATCACATCGGCTCTGTCAACTCGTTTCCCTTTCCCCCTTGTACTTCTGGAGACTCGCAGAATTTCCAGCACTCCTCAGGCTCCCGGGTGACGCTGAGGCATTGGGTTTGAGGTCCAGAGCCCTCGGTGGCGGTGACTGAGCTCCCCCGCTTGCCCCGAGCTGCGGCGTCCGCACGTGATGCAGCCGCAGTGACCAAGGGAATCCGACAGCTGCTGCAGTGAGGCAGGTACTGCGAGTTTAATATTTCTTTTCGAAGTAACCGACAGAGAATACCCTCCTTCTGGACAACCTGAAAAGCTAGATATGTCATTGGTGAGAAGTCCTATGTAAGTCTTCTTCCAGAAGGATAGGAGAGGCTGGGTGAAAAGTAAACCCTGAGTGAAGATCAGGAAAGAAGCTTGTTTGCTTCTGCAAAAAGTAGCTAGCACTGGAGCACAGACTCCTTTGTCTTTACAGACCCCTAGTTAAGTTCACACCACTTTTTTTTCCGCTTTTGAATTACTCTGCATTCTTAGGGTGACTTTCAATTCTAATAGCCTCTTTAACTGTGTTTAACGTCTAAACTAATTAAACACATCTATTAAATTCCTGGCACATACTTCATTTATTTCTTGTGAGATGAATAGTGAAGACTGTGCTGAAAGGGAGCAAGGTTGTATTTCGTGTGCTTGAAATGATTAAACTCGAAATGAGGGCTGTGGGAGGTGGTTTCCTGGTAGCCCGCGTCTTCCTCGCGCTGGTTCTGACACCTCTGCTGGCAGAGGCTGTTGGCCGGTAGAGCTGCGCCCTGCATAGCGCGCTGTCATCACGGAAGACATAGGTGTGATGACTTGCCTAGCTAGTCTGTGAATAGCAGGACAGAAAACCAGTCTGTGCTCTTCTTGGAGCACAGGGTTGCGTTAGGAACATGGCTTCTGGAGCCCCTGCATAAGAGAGCCGATAGGAAGGAGAGAGGTTTGAGCTAACCTGTATTTCTCCATTACTGAGCCACTGCGTATCGTGCTAGTTCGAACTTCTAGAGTACATAACTTCATACTGAAGGGTGGTAAGTTGTAAAACTCAAGCTCTGAGATCAAATGGGTATTTTCTTTGCCAAATGACTACTTGTTTGCCACTTGGTTTTGTGCTATTTGTTCCCTTTCTTCCACTCGTGGCTTGTCTTTCTTGCGGTACAGTGCTTAATTTTACCAGGACAGGCTTTGCACTAAGGAAGGTTTAAGTTCCTCTTGTCCCCCCTGTTCTCCGAGCCTTTTCTTTTTCTGCTTCAGTGACCTTAGCTGGTAAGTGTGGAACTGAGCAGGGTGCTTTGAAACATGCTGTAGTGCTAAACATCAGTTACACTTTGATGGGGGTTTGCCAGAGGATGAATTTAGAACTATTAGAGGAGGCACAGTGTGAAAATTCCCCTGCCTAGCTGGGCCACTCCTGGAGAGTGAAAAGACTCAACAGGATTTGGGATGTCTAGGCAGGCTTTAAATCTGGAGAGGGCGCAGACCTGCAAGCACAGTTTGCCTCCCTGGCCATTCAGCATAGAAAAAAACCTGTTCTGTGAGGGGTTCTGACTTGCCAAGGAAGCTGAAATAACTACTGAAGATAGATGATTTTTTTTTTTTTTTTTTTACCTTTACAATTTAGGTAATTTTACCTTTTTTTTTTTTAGGCTGATGTCATTAAATATATGGTGTCAAACCCATTTAGTGTTGTATTTGCTTCTTTTTAAATTTCCTGTGTGGAGATTAATCTCTGGAAGTACTTTTGCTTTAAATCACTGTATCATCTACCATTATCTAGATGTAGGCCCTTCAGCTCATGCATTATTCCTTGCTGCAGCTCAAGGCGCTCTGCGTGTTGATGCTGTAGACGGGGTTTGATCATCTGGTGTTGCTTCTCTTGAAAAGCCTTTCACAGGTGCTAGTACAGACACAGGAAGACTTTCTTATTTTTAGCAAGATGTGTATTTATAGTGTATTTTACTAAACTCTGACTAGTTTGTAAATTTGAGGAGGACTGAAGCCAGTGCTTGTTCTTTGTATTGGGGGTAGAATAGAGCAAGGAAAGCATGTATTCATTTAACCATTTAAATGTGCTGTAAAGGACCCTCCGTGTCTGGCAGCATGCCACTGTCTTTGTGATAACGGAGGTAAGCTGACAAGAAAAAGAGTTACTTTAACTGAAAGCAGTAAGAGAATTCTAACCAAATCCTGGTGCACGCCAGTTTATAAAATGAGAACACAGCTTAAATTTATTCCATCCAGTACAGTAGGCAAAAGTTACAGCACTCGCTTGATTAAAGTGAGTTCTCAGAAAGGAGGTAGGAGAAGCTGTGAAGTGGTGTCTCAAGTTACCAACTGGTTTGGATGTTCTTCTAAGAATACATATAGAAGCTTCCTGCGTCAGGATTTTCGTTGTGCAGGCGTGTGTGTAAATGCTTTCAAATCCAATAGTGTGTGTGTTTTGCTTTTATTTCAGGTGTACTTGAAGGCACCTATGATTCTCAATGGTGTCTGTGTCATCTGGAAAGGCTGGATAGATCTGCAGAGACTGGATGGTATGGGCTGCCTGGAATTTGATGAAGAGAGAGCGCAGGTAAGACAGCCTGCCCCTGGCTTCTCTGCCCCAGATCTTTGTTTGTCCTGCTGGAAAGAAACAGGCAGTCAAGTACTGATCACACGCTCCGATCTGCTTATTTCCGTCCTTCACTTGGAACACAAATTCCAAAGAAAACTTACAGGTATAGAAGTTCAGAAATATGTGATTATAGCTCAACTAGTGTTTTAATTAGATCAAAAATATTTGGGGCAGGAATCGCCTGTAGTTTGCTACTTTGTGGGTGATTTAGCACTGTCACTATGCTCCAGAGTAGTATTTGAAAAGCTGTGTCTGTAACTTGCAAAAGATTGACTGGCCAGTTTCTTCTAGCTGTTTGCTTTAGGGTAGGGTGAATAGGGCGTCTTCATTTGTTCTGTAACAGTGCTAAGCTCTCTGCTCCATTAAGGTATGGCAGCTTTTGAGAACTTACTTCCTATTTACCTACTTCCTACCACTGGAGTGACTGCCTAGCAGCTGAGTCTTTGGACACTCACGAGAACAAAGTAAACGCAGAGGAAATGACTTTTTAAGTGCACATCACATATATAAAGTTCACTTACACAGCTGTGGGGTTTCTTAATTTAGTCAGACTTGAGACAGATCTTTATTTTTAAGAGGTAAGTCAGTAGCAGAGCTACTTAACTGAGAGTAAAAGCTGCTGCCCCAGCTTTGTGTGGGCTTCCACAGGGATCGCCTGTCTGCAGTGGACAGTAAATTGTATGCGGTAACATCAGTTACTAGAGTTAGGACTTAAAATCTATATTTTGTGGCGAACTCAGCAGTTCATTTCTATAGTTTGATAATTTAGAAATGGTGAAACTATATGAAGTCACGCTCCAAAGCGCTTCTGAGTACAAGGGTTTGTTAAGCATGCAGAGAGAAGAAGGGTGAGCAGTTTTCTGCAGCCTTTTATTCCACGCCCAAGTTCTCTATTGGTACTCCAGCAAATGGTTTTTAATTTACTCTGTACCTGGATATACCCATTTTCTCCTAACTTCTCTTTGAAGCCAACTTTCCCCCAAGATCATCATGACTTCCCCTAATTGTTCAGGAAACCTGAGCAATTCCCTTTAAACCACTCTTCAGTGTCTCCTAAACGGTAGCTCTGTCTTCTTTGTCTTGGCAGCATAACAAAATCAGAGCTTTCTCTGTCTCCTTCCTTTTGTTGCTTTAAACTCAAGAGACCCAAAGCAACCCACTCGTGAACAACTGAACTGCTTTGTGGGACACTGGTGGTTCCCTTTGTCTTTCTTGCACCTCGTGTATGTCATGCGTATGGGTGATTTTTGCAAAAACTTAATTTTCACACAAACTGTCTTTCCAGATTACCTTTTCTGTGCCTTTGTGCCCTCTAGGGGATTGCTTCTGGCAGTTGTGTGCTGGAGCTGATTTTTAAATAAGGATGCATCTTCTATTTCCACTGTGAGTGCCTCGTTCTCGGCCCTCGCTTCCTTAGGGTTTCCCTTTTAGTGATTCTGCGGCCACAGTTGGTCGCTATGTAACAAAAAGGAACCCTTTAATTCCACCTGGAGACCAAGGGCACTCCTCTATTCCAGGCACGTGGAACTGGAGTGATTAGTTTGTTTCCGTTCAAGAGCTGGAAGTATTTATATCAAATTTTATATGGAAATGTGTATAGTTGCGAGCTTTGTGGTGCTTTGCCTCTCTGCTGTTCTGCGGGTAGTCCTGCCACCTTTTATTAATCCACGAGAAAGGCCACGGAGCGAAGGTTTTCCTTGGGCGCTGCTGTTGGTTGTGGCGTTCCCTTCTTCCGAAGGCAGGTGTGGGCATGCTGAGCTGGCAAGGTTCCTGCTGCAGTGGTAGGTGTGCTCCTTGGAAAGGGAGAACCTGCTGTGGGCTCCCTTGATGGGAAGGCCTTCGGTCTGTAATGGCTCACACAGAGACGCCCGAGGACCTGGTGAGATAAATCCCAAGGTTCTCCATCTGTGACTGTTAAGTTTGGTACGTGACGCTAAGTCACACGGCTCCTGAACTGAGAGGAGCCCGATTTGAACCTGAGCTCAGAGGGATATACTGTCACTCAGTTCCAAAATTGGGTAGTTCCTGAAAAAAGTGCGTGCCCTTCCAAATACGGAGAGCGGTCAGGAGGCCCGTGTGTTCAGTTTTCCCCTTTATAATTGCCCGATAAATGTTTTTGCGTGCTCTTGAATAATTTAGTTTCCCGATGTGTATACGCTGTCTTAACTACGCTTAAGAACTCCTTTTTGTTGTCTTCAGAAAGTGTTTGTGCACTGAGCATGTGATGTTTTTTTTTTTTAATTTTTTTTTTTTTTTGGTGAGAGGATGTGTGTGTGCTCTCAGGCATCACTGCTTTGAGTTTTGAGTGCTGAGGGTGCTGAGCTGGAGGTATCACACAGCATGGACCTGCGGAGACACCTTTGCACTCAATTGGGGGCACGTCATTTGTTTTCAGTCTGTGCTTCTTCCCCATTACCTGGAGGTCACTGGTCATCTTTTCTGCTACAGTAGCAGCACCTAAGAGTCCCCAGATACAGAGAGGTTGCTGCACCCTTGCCAAAACATTTACAATACTGACAAATGCAATCTTTTACATTCTCCATTTCCTTTTTCCTGTATCTGTTGTCGCGCTTCCTTTTTTTAAAACTGTTTTAATACTGTGTGTGGCAGTTGACCTAACTGCTGATTTTGATCCCAAAATAACCCTTGGGTTCAAGTGCCTCGAACTGTGGGGTTAGTGCCCGGGGTACCCACGGCCTCCAGTAGTAATTTGGCATTCATCCACACCCACCCCGTACACACCCCTTACTCCTGTTTTATGGAAGGTTTACCTTGTACAAACGTGGTGCTATTGCATTTTCCTGACGCTTGCCGCTTCTTACTAATTACCAGGATTTGGTAAATTTTTCCTTCGCTGCCACACTTGGGAAATTATACTACACTTCACCGGGTTGCAGAGTATTTTAGGAAGAACAGCCACATGCAGAACAATACAGTAATTGTGACTTTTAAGGCAGTGTTCTTTCTGTGTAATTCACTAGTCTTACTACCAAGTGGGCTTATTACTCTTTGTTCCTGGAGACCCTGATTCGGCTGCTCGTTCAGACTCTCACTCATGGCTCCACTACGTGCCTGAATATCTTCCCCAACTGGGGCTGAAATTTCCCTGGGTTTTGTACTTACCTCAAGTATCATTAAAAGCCTGTTTCTGTCTTCAGCACTTTTGTATCTCCTCTGCAATAGAGCTTTTTTTTTTTTTTTGTACTTCCAGATTGGGGGCTTTGTTTTGTCCTATTCTTGTGTTGATATGGCTTGTCTTTTTCGCATTCTTCTTTTTCTTAGTAGATTTATTTAATTAGTGTTTTTATTGATTAAAACTAAGATGGATAAATGATTGAGTCTGGTACAGTCAGATCCGCTACGCTGTAATTGCTAGATTTGAGTGACATTTGAAAAAAAAGTTTAAATTCTTGTTGTACGAGATCCTGAGATGTTTGTTCATTTCTGTTATAACAGAAGTAGAGCAAAATTTTTTTTATTAGTAAAGGAACGTTCCAGTCCTTTTTTTTTTTTTTCTCCTACCTTTTTTCAGATGTAAGTAAATCAGTGTTTCAGCTGTCAGCATATGTTCATTCTGGATGTCGACATA